AACTCCTCAGAGCATCTTTCTATTTACTATATGAGATGTTGCCTGATTTGTGAATCTTTCCAATTAGATCTTTAAATTTAATTGGTTGAATTTTGTTTTTTAACACTACTTAACTGACACAGTCTTATGCCACTAAACTATGAACCATCTGGTTAGCTCTTCTTCCTCTGCATCCTTACTCTCCATGTTTCCACATGGTTTTAGGCTTTAATTATTTGGCTTTCCACATGGTTTTCCAATAGGGAGAGAAGGGGCAGTTCACATCAACGCAACTATTCTAAACTCATTCTACTTCATTCTGTAAAAGAATAAACTTGGTTTATACACCAGTCATAGGGGCTTGACTAATTATCATCTTCCTCCGAAAGATAAAACCACTGTGACAGGCTAATAAAATCTGGTCTCCAAGCATGGATTTAGATTGCTTGACTCTAGATTCCTGCAATTATTCTACAAGAGAAATACCACTTTGTAAGATCTTTCGCTTAGGTGGTCAATCAGCTTCTCCTAGTGATCTTTTAACTTCATTGTGCTTCTCTTTATCAATATTACAATAATTATGTGATATCTTTTTATATGATCCCATAGCTTTGGTCGTCCTCCTCCGGAAATACTCTAGATTGTCAAGTGTGGTGACTGACAAATGTGGTGCCAGACTGACTTCATGTTGGCCCAACTAACCAAAGATCAGCAAGACTACAACTTTGCTTACTCTGAATACTACACTTCTCTTTGCATACTCTGGTATTTATACTGATACCTAAATCCTCCTAAAAGTCCTTTCGCAAGTACTAGTGCTACTCAGTTACTTATCTCCCACTCTCTTCTTACAATGCTATGCTTTGAATATAACCTCACAATCATCCCAATTAATGTTACCACTGTTAGCTAGCTGAAGCTCTACGTTTTCAAATTCTGACAACCACTGTGCCACCTTCCCAGTTCACGATACTTCCCTTCCCCTTATAGTCATTTAAGGTACCTGATTATAAATTGTTTGGTGTAATTTCAGTCCTCTTTCATGGAGCTGCAACTATATAATAAAGATATAGTTTAAATATTTGGAAAAAAAGATCGATATTACCAGCATCCCCCATAATCCCTCATATTTCTTCCATTAAATCAGATTAACATAGTTCCTTTTAGCCAAAATCAGTGCTATATAAATAAGAAACATGGTCAAAGATTTTTTCAGTAGATGTATTCGAACATTTAATAAATCTAACCCACAGACTCTCCTAAGGGGATATTAGAAAAATATAAAATAATGATAAGAAGGCTGAGGAAGAAATGGTTAACACTATCTCCTCCTAAAAAGTAGCCACCTGCCCACCCCTTAAATTTCACCTATATTTCTGAAACTTGGAAGGTACAACCTGTACCTATTGTACTACTATACCCAGGGGGAGGGATATAACTTAGCATTGTATTACAATCGGTCCAGGTTATATCTTCCATGTTTCAGAAACATAGGTGAAAGCTACCAGAGAAGACCAAAGAAAAGCACAGTGTCATACAGAAATGTGCACCTTTGAGTTCTGTAATGCCACCAACGTCTTCCTGAAAAATATACATAAGGTATATCCTAGAGAAATTCAAAATGTATCCACGGCAGTATTTAGCCACAAACTTAAAAAAACAAATGAAAAACAAACAAACAAAACTCTCCCCATTTACTTTCCATGATCATATTTACCATAGCTTTTATAGCTGCTGTTCTGACACGCGGGTCTTGGTCAATGAAGTAATCCCCTATAATCTTCTGGACATCTCTGATAGGTAGACCTTCAGCATCTTTTGCGACACTTTTCTCCAAAGAGCCAAGATTGCCAAGTAATTGCAGGCACTTATTTCTTACACCATGGGAGGTATCTGTCAGGTGCTATAAAAAGAAAAGAGAGAACAAAAGCACATGACTATCTTAAAAATAAACAAACATACCAAAAAAAAAAGAGAAACAAAACCATTCTGTCACCTTTAGGGGTGACTTTGAACACTACATTCTCACCACAGCCTGTCTAGTATCATGTAACTTGAGTATGTGTCTTCCAAAAAGAATCATGAGCCCTTAGAAAATAAAAAATAAGATTCCCATTTGTTCATCATTGTATTCCCCACAGCTAGCACTTAGCCTTGTAAAGAGTATGTACTTAAAAAATTGCCTCTAAATTGCTATCAAATCTAAAAACAAAACAAAAATTTATAAATTTTTAAAACTTTTAATATCCATATAGTAATATGTAAAAATCTTAAGTGTACTGCTCAATTTTCACAAAATGAATATAGGCATATAGCAAACACCCAGATAAAGAAACAAAACATGACCAACACCCCAGAAACTCCCCCTTGTGCCCTTTCCCAGTAACTACTCCACCACCATCAAAAATAGCCAGTATCTTAACTTCTAACACATAGATTTGTTTTGCCTATTTTTGTACTTTATAAAATCAAATAGTGTCTGGCTTCTTTTGTTTAATATTAGCTTTGTGAGATTAGAGATTATAGACTGGCACATAGCTATGATTCATTCATTCTCATTACTGTATAGTATTCCATTTGTGAACACGCCACCGTCCATTTACCCTTTCTATTGTTGGCAGATACTTGGCTTATTTCCAGGTTTTGGCTACTATGAATAATGCTTTTATGATTATTCTTGAATGTGGCTTTTGAAGTACATACTCACATTTCTGTTGGATCTATACTTAGGAATGAAACTGCTGGGTCACAGGGCATGTATATGTTCAATTTAAGAAGATGCTACCAAATAGCCTTCCTAAGCAGTTGTACTAATTTAACTAATTTATCCTTCCACCAGTGATGCCTAAATGTTCCAGTTGTGCCACATCCTTGTCAACACCTAGTACTGTCAATCTTTTTCATTTTAGCACTTCTCACCAGCATTATAAACAAATTATTGGTTATCTCTCTCTCATACCTAGTCCAAAGCTAATGAAATAAGCTATTTAATAATGCACTAACAGGAACTGAAAATATGAAATGAGTTTGCACGGTAGGTTATAATATGGTGTGGAATTCTCCTTTTTAAACTTTTTAAACTGAGGCCCACAGTAAAAAATATCCATTATGTTGCAACATAACACTCACATACTATGTGTATATATATATATGTACATACACACACACAGAAATTTTAACAAGACAATATTCATCCTTATATCTTGTGATGTGCTCTGATATTTCAACTGTTTTGTTTTTCAAAAAATACTGATCATGACCCATGAAACTGATTGCATTACCCACCAATGGATCATGATACTCAGTTTGAAAGGCACCAGTATAGAGAAAAGTAAACAGAACTCAAAATTTAAAAACCTGGGTTCACAGATCTCCTTAGAAAAATGGCTAGTTTTAGGACTGGGTCAAGATATATATAAGAAGAGTCTGTGAAGAACTAATGAAGTCCAGATCAAAAGGACACAGAAACCAGTGTGAAATGAGCTCCCATTGTCAACATTTATATGACACCAAAAGAAAGCACACATCTAGAATGCAGGACTTCCATAAGACCAATGACCCAGTTTCTTCGATAGATCTATGACATTAAAAAAAGGGAGCACTGTTACCAATTAAATGAACTGGCATGAAATGATATGAAGTAACTTAATAATGGCATCATGGCTATATTGAAAAATATTATGTTTTATCAGTTAGAGATACATACAGAAGTATTTATAATTGAAATAACATGTCAGGGATTTACTTTAAAATACTAGAGTAGATAACACGAAAAGTGAGAACAGATATAAAAGATTGCAAAGCATAAGTAACTCAAATTTACACTTGAAAACTAGAAAGAATAGCAAATTTGAAATTTTCCGTAATATGAATTATACACACACACACCACCTAGCTTAAATTTTCAGCTCTGACACGCTGTAAGTGTAATTTTGGTCAAGTCACTGGACCTCTCAGAGCATCGAAGTCCTCATTCCTAAGAAGGAACAATAATACATACCTTCATAACTTATAGGTTTATCATGAGGTTCAAACAAGAATGTAAAAGAAAAAAAAAACTTTCTATACTATATACTATAAAGCATGGTATGACTATTAGTTATTATTACTACAATCTAAAATAGTAACAGAGGTATATGGTCACAGATAAAGTATACGTATGGTTTCATTAGGAGATAACTACGTATACAATTATCAATACAAAACAAGTGTTTTTAGATATTCCCTTTACATTCAAATTTTCCATATATAAATGAAATCATTAATTTGAACTCAAACAGCTAGTTTCTTTCCCTTTTGCTCACTCTCTCTAACATTACCGGCACTCTCAGGAATCACCCATCTTTCTCCTCTTGCCTTAATTCACTAATCCCCTATTTTACAGAACCACAAGATAAGTGATATGTCTAATAACACATAGATAACAGTGAGAGAGCTAATACTGGAATCCATGTCTCCTGACACTCAGTCCAGAGCTCTTTTTCTCACAAAGTGCATAAATATTTTCATGATTTTGAAAACTTTACTATGTTCAGAGTTGGGCATTTGAATCTTACATACTTAAAAGTCTCTACAATACCTGTTTTCATTACAAATATGAATATTGTTACTGCCCTGTATCGCTAATCTCCAGCCATGAAGAATCACTCAGGTTTCTAATTACTGCCTAATAAACACAGTGATACCAAATAATCAATTCTTATGATTATTAAGTAGGCTGCCAATACCTTATGTAAGTAACACATACACATGCAACTGAACAAACCAGAAGATACATCAAATAAGTACATATATTAAGAATAATACTAACAAGAAAGTTACAAATAATAGAGAAAAATTTAGAATGAACACTGTAGTACTGAGTTTTAATTACAAATAGAGAACAACAGATTTTCAGTAAACATAGACACAGAAATATAGATGTAAATGTGAATATATAATGTAGATATATCCTCTAACACTGTCAACTGAGAGGGCCCATAAGCAGCAACACCCCAACAGCAATGTGCACATTTAGTGCCCAGATCTTGGTTTCAAAACACAATTCTCCACTAAGAGGAGCCAGGGCTTCTTGGAACAAGGCTAACTCCAGGGCTAGAGCAGAGAAAGTAGTAAGATGAGCCTGGAATATTTTACTGTACCAGAAAAAAATGAAATATTCAAAGAATGATAGAGAAAAGTCAAAAAGATACAGAAGCTAACTTGAAGGGGGTCCTACTTGGCTGAATCAAGGAATTTGAACAACGAGATGAATAATGATAGTAAAAGATTATGATCTGTAAATAAACAAGGACTCCATGAACTCATCACTGATATTAATAATTGGATAGAATATTTACATACTTTCAAAGTACTGCCCCCCAAAATATTCATTTCAAAAGGAAAGAGTAACTTCACAGTGAAGAAGTTTGACACTACTCTAACCAAGTGGTCAAAGTAAACATCATCAGTAATGGGACAAATCAAAATGGTGCACCACCTAATAGGGGGCAATGAGAAGAAAACAGCATTCATGATATTCTTGCCAAAGATGAGTAACTTGAATCTAATTATGAGAAAATATAAGACAAACCCAAATTCAGGGAGATTCTACAAAACACTTGTCCTATAATTTCCAAAGTGTCAGGCTATAAAATCAAGGAAAGACAGAGGAATTATTCCAGACAGAGATGATGAGGTATGGTGACTAAAATGCAATCTGTGGTTCTGAACTAGATCCTTTTCCTGTAAAGAACATTACTGGAACAAACGGTGAAATTTGAATGAGGTTTGAGGATTAAATGGTAGTAATATTTTGATGTTAATGTCCTGATTTTGATAATCGTATGGAGGTTATGCAGGAACGTATCTTTGCTTATGGGAAACACACACTGAACTTTTCAAGAGTAACTTACTCTAAATGGTTCATACTTACTTTAAAATGTTTCATAAGAAACAAAAGTACTTTATTTCTATAGCTGGAATTTTTCAAGTTTGAGATTTTTAAAAAATAAAAAGTAAATAGTCTAAATACACACAAAAACAAAATAACCATATTGCTTAATAAACATTAGAAAAATATTACATTATCTCTAAGAATAAGTGTATTTTAAGACCATAAAAAGAAAGGGGAAGCAATGCAGAGAATGCCTCCAGGAGGTGTAGGAGGCTTTGCAGAGAAAATAGATTTAATAAACTGTTTCACCTCTTATTCAAGAAGCAAAGTAGCATAGTGGAATGAGCACAGACTGGAATCAGATAAAACTGGGTTTGATTATTGGCCCTGCCACTTAGTATCTATTTAAGCTCTACTAGGCTGGATAAACTTTTAGAAATTCTTACTTTGTAATAATAGGAATATACCCTACCATGAAGTTTTATAATGAATGAATGAAAGGAATTCATTTAATAATTATTGCATGTAAAATCAGCTTATAGTGTCTGGGACAGAACAGACATTCAACAAGTATAAGGACCTAGCACAGTGCCTGGCACTTACCATGTTCTTTTAAAAACAACCTACTTAAGAAGAGAAGGGGACAGGTGGAGAAAAGAAGAACAGATGATGGGAAAAAAACAAACAGAAAACAGAGAAGGGTCAGGTGTAAAAGTGGGCCTCCTGGATGATACAGGTCTGCTGATCTGGAACAGACAAATATGAACTTTCTGTTGATAGCTGTCTGAAAATAGGGCAGTCTGTCATGAAACGCTAACTTGGAGGAGAAAACAAAGGAAACCTGCTGAGAAAACTCCTATGCAGAGGGTAGGATTCTCAGAGGGAACCTTTCATTATAAAAATGGCTCAATCAAACATTTTAGCTCAGAGTTAATTCTTGCTTCCAAGTTATGTAAGCTACAGAAATATGAAGCACACGCAATGCCTTATATATAGTAAGGGTTTAAAATTGTCCATCAAAATAAGAC